AAAGGCGCCATTTTAGAACGTTCTTTTCTATTATCCAAGAAAGATTATGAACACTTCCCAAGAGTCCCAAGAGTGCAACTTATCACACATAAGTCTTGTCCTATCCAATCAGACTGAAGTCAACGGGAAAAGAAATGATGCCTGTTCCCTCTGCAGAATAGTGAATTCTCAGGCTAAATATTATGCAAGAAAATCCTACAGAACTTGAGGGCTACAAAAGAAGGATCAGTCACCTCCTAAGATGAAGATGAAGTTCAAAATAATACATTTGAGGATGAAAGAAAAAAATAGAAGTCCACTTTTGTTTAAAATGGTGCTTGGAACATTGGTGTTTATAACTTTTTGAACAGGTGATATTAATGGTATCTTTTCAAGTTGCTTAACCCTACATTTCTACCTGACCACAATTCCAATAAGAAACCAAGCATTTACTTTTTAAATTTGCATAAGTCAAAAAAGAATGTTTTTATACTATAATACCTACGTTTTGATTCTAAAAGAAAGAGAACATTCTCATGTAAGAATAGGAAATATAAACACCATTATAATAGAACAGAGTTATGCATCAGAGAAAAGTAAAACAAGAATGTAAAGGGAAAGATCAAAATTGTTTTGGAATTTAGTGGCAAGGTTCAAATACACAACAGAAGCATTTCTGAGGATCAGGAACGAGATATAATGAATGTTACAACTCACAGAATTTTCATGGTGATCATATAACAAGAATTAAAATCTGTACACCATATCTTTTCAGCTGTGAGAAAACAGGTGTTGAGACCTACTCACAGACTGAAAAGCAAACAGATCTTAATCTGTTGCTTGTGGTATATAGAGAGATTATTTAGCAGCCCATATCTGGAGCCCATCTTCCTCTTCAACCTCTGGACTGAATAAATCCCAGTAAGTCAGAAGGCAAATTGTGTCATGGAACAAATGAAGAAGAGCACAGAACTTTGAAATTTCACTTCCCAAGACAGATATTAAGCTTGCCCTTCAGTTCCAATGAGGATTTCCAGGGATGAGGGGAACTGAGCACAAAGGAACGGTTGGAACAGGGCTCATTTTCTTAAATAGCAAAAACTAGTTATGATATATATATTTCAGGTTCTTTTTCAACAGAGCAGGATGACAAATACAACTCTTAATTCATAAGGAAAGTTGAAGTTTTCTTCTGAACTCTTAAGTTCAGAAACCATATTATAGTAGAAAGACCAAGCTTTTAGAAGTCAGGAAATTCCAAAGCAAGCCTATAGCAGCACTTACTTGGACAGATGACACATGGTACATATTTTACAGTCCATGTCTAACAAATAACTGGGAGGTGAAAAAAAAGCTCCACATATTCAACAAGGCAGAATAAATTCTATAGCAGAAAGCAGAATTGTGAAATGTTCTGGACACTATTCTGAAACTCAATATTTCATTAATCCAATATTAGTCATTTGCTTTCTTTTTTAAAAAAAATTTAGAACAAAAAATCATCTCAATTTTAAACACACACACACACACACACACACACACACACACACACCCTGTGTAAAATTTATGTATATCACCATCCTATAAATCTGAAAGGCAGTTCCCTCTCTTTCAGAAATTTTCTAAAAATCTCATGAAATAAATGCATATTTTTCTCAATCCCAGACCATAATTTTCTATCTTTGGAACTTAAAAATACTTACATAATTGTCTTCAAATATGGCTTGACTTTTCTTCCTTGATGGAAACAGCACTCTTGCCAACTTTAAAATTTACAGCTACAACCATATTTTTTTAATTTTTAAAAGCACAAAAAAATACCACAATCCCTCAAAGTGATTTTGAAATGAATATTTCTTCATCTTCATAATTATTCTGTGTCACACTGAAATGTAGCCAACATACAAATAGAAAGGACATTTACCTTTGGGTCTTAGGATAAAATATTGCATTTAGAGATAATGATATTAGCAACTAAAAATAATTCATTGCAAAGTAAATTGGTGTATCTCGTCATCAAATTCGTGTGTGTGTGTGTGTGTGTGTGTGTGTGTGTGTGTGTGTGTAGAGAGAGAGACTGTCTCACTTTTATACACTATACCACAGTTTTCTAAAGCATTTCTATATAACTTCATTATTTGATCTTCTGAAAATCCTGAAAGGTATACAAGACAAGGATTATTTATGACTCTATATGAAGATCAATAAACTGAAATACAGGAAGGCTAAGTGCCTTGCCAAAACCCAGAGCTCATCAGTGGCAAATCCTAAAAAAATAGCCTGAATAGTTAACACCCAAACCAGTCCTTTAAAAGGTTTAAGTGTGCAATTTAAATTAGAAGATAAATATGCAAAGTTATTGGTTTTCTAAGGCAGTTTAACAATGCTTTTTTTCCTCCCCAGTCATAAAGGCTTGCAGTCTATCTCAAGACTGGAAAAATAGCAGTCACCTGAATTACAGAGTTACTGCATCAAAAGACTGTGCTTGAAAATATTAAACTCAAAAAATGACATGCTCTTGAAAACCTATCAATCAATATAAAACTGTAGTTCCACAGCTTTTTCTGAGGTAGAAAACATTGAAAATGATTGTGGATGAATATCTTTTTTTTTTAAAGAAAAAAGGTCATTTAGGGGGAAAAATGTTTCAAGAAGTGTATAAGGGTGAAATTTAAATGGAAGCACTATTACATAATATGTTTAAACTTGAGTCTTTCCAAGCAAATTATGACTTTTTCTACATTTTCCCCTTGAATTGGGATACCATAACAAGGCAGCAATGCAACATCATTTTCACTCTGAAGTTACTGTGTCAAGTTCATATCTACATCTGTTGCATTTCTTTTTTTTTTTTTTTTTTTTGAGTTGGAGTCTTACTCTGTCGCCCAGACTGGAGTGCAGTGGCCGCTCCCGGCCACTGCGGCCTTGACCTGCTAGGCTCCAGCGATCCTTCCGCCTCAGCCTTCCAAGTAGCCGGAAAATACAGGCATACGCTACCATGCCCGGCTGATTTTTTGATTTATTGTAGAGATGAGGTCTCACCGCTCAGGCGGGTCTCGAACCCGCGGGCTCAGGCAATCCACTCACCTCGGCCTCCCAAAGGTGCAGGATTAGTTATTATGTCAAGTTCATATCTACATCTGTTGCATTTCTTTAAGAGCCTAACTGGCATCTGTGATCCATAAAAATCTTTAAAGGCAACATTCCTGTTATTTCAAATAACTGGAGGATTTGTTTCTCTTTCAAACTTCTCAAAGAAGCAAGCCAAGTAAATGGAGAATGAGTTAGTTTAAATTGTTACATGTGTTTCTCTAGACTCTTCAATTATTAGGCAAGCTCCTATAGGCAAAAACAAGTTTTTCCTTTGTTTTCATTTTTCCCCTTTAGAAACTAGAATAGAGCATGGCACCAGCCACCCGGAGTTCACTGACCACGGGGTAAATCTGGAAGGGACTCTCAGATTCTCCTTCCAGACAGAGGGACAAAGAGGCCCGCTGGAATCTGGGTGGCCTTGTAGGAGTGGGCAGTGCAATGGTGAGGGATGTGGGCTGAGAGAAGCAGATCTGTATGCAACACCTGCATAGTGATGCCTGAGAGAAGCTGGAGCGGACAGTGTGGCTGGGAGGGCAGGTAGGCAGGGCACATGTTCACCGCTGGGGTCTAACAAGGTAGCAAGCACTGGATACAAGATGCATTCCACAAATAGTGAAGCCATCATAGCAACAGTCAAGTGTAGAATGAGGTGAGCCGGGCTCGGTGGCTCAGCCTGTAATCCCGCGCCTTTGGGAGGCTGAGGTGAGTGGATTGCCTGAGCCCGCAGGTTCGAGACCCGCCTGGGCAGTGAGACCTCATCTCTACAATAAATCAAAAAATCAGCCAGGCGTGGTAGTGCGTGCCTGTAATTCCGGCTACTTGGAAGGCTGAGGCGGAAGGATTGCCGGATCCCAGCAGGTCGAGGTTGCGGTGGCCGGGAGCGGCCACTGCACTCTAGTCTGGGCGACAGAGTGAGACTCAAACTCAAAATAAAAAAAGAATGAGGTGCTTCACTGTTGGGCAGCCAACCTCTTCTCCCTAAAACATGCCTATATACTCCTCAGGTCACTCCATAGTTTGGTCACATGGTCTGCATATCTGTCTTCTATGTCGGGGTATAATAAAATAAATTAGTTTGACATTTTGTGGTGTTTTATTATTTGTCCCTGTTCTTGAATATCCAGTTCAAGAAAAAGGTCATAGGCTCTTTTATTTTATATTTTGTATAAAATAGGCTATATTTTATATACTTCAAGTTGGAACCACTTACATGCCAAAAATATATTTCAGAGTTAAAATCAAAATTCTTTCAACAAAAACTGGTATCACTAATGGTCAGGAAAGAAAAAGTGAATTCAGGGTCTTAAAAATTTCAAAGGGTGAACAATCAACCCCGAACTAACCATAATGTTTACACAACAACGTCTATGAACAACAGTAATAGAGAGACAATCATATATAAAGTAATAGAGAGACAATCATATATAAAGTAATAGAGAGACAATCATATATAAAGTATACACACTTTATAGAAGAGAATGTTCATCCCAACAGATTACAACTAAGTTCACAAAGGAAAGTTTTAAAAAATATAGGCCTCTATACTTTGATTTAGGAAAGCAGAAACAGCTTGAATCCTGTGAATTGCACTTGATGTTTCAAATTAATGTGAAAAATTGTTCCCAAACAAATTTTAAAGTGCATTTGTTACTGCTTATCTGTAGGAGTTCAAGTACAAACTGCAGATCATCATCCAAAAATAATGAGTATCTGAGACACATATGACTTCACATGCTGCATAATGGAGCCAACTACTTTATCAAGAGAACAGAAAATCCCCCGGCACCATGGCCATGAGCTCTGACCACCCCCTCAGGAGGTGAACTCAGATTGTCCTCCAAGTGGTGGAATTGTAGTGAAAAGTCACAATGTGTGTTCTAGACAAGCTGGCAGCAGAAATGCATGTGACAATCAAGTGTTTCACGTACTTTGCAAAGCCAATGAAGTCCTCATGGTTGGTGTTGATGTAGGAGACCTGGATGTCAATCAACAGCAGAACCTGTAAATCAAAAAAAAAAACAAACAACACTTCAGTGAAACCCATCTAAAAATCCTCAAACATTAAGTTCACTAATTGCCCACAAATTATATATCTTTATATAATTGTAAAAGGATGCTTCAATTAGAATGAAAGGTTACATTAATTTTTCTCCATTGGACTCATAATTTTGCACTTTAAATTCATACATTAAAAATCTACTTGAAAAGAAGTCTGAGTACCACATGAAGAGAATGCATACAGACATGAGCTACTTGTTGACTTGACACAGAACCTAGACTTCTTCTGCTTCTCCAAAATGTGGGCACAATGTTCACGAGACAGGCAAGCATGGCAAAAAACTATGTGGCAGGAGGGCCAATGAGGGGATTACAAAGCATCTCAGAATGCCTTTAGCATCTCATCAACCAGCTCGAAAAGGCAATATAAAAATAAATATGAAGCTCCTTGAGATTAGTGGGCTTTATCATTAATTCAAAACATCAGTCAGAAGCTGGGGTGGTGGTACTCTCCTGCCCACCCAGCAAGTTAAAAGGCCAAGGTGGGAAAACAGTTAGAGCCTTGGAGTTTGAGGCTGTAGTGCACTACCTGTGAATAGCTACTACACTCCAGGTTAGGTGACAGAGCGAGACCCTGTCTCTAAAAAAACAAATAAAAACGTCAGAGGGGTATTCCCTACCCATTCTATCTAAATTAGCACTCTTGGGACTCTCTGTCATCTCACCCTGCCTTTCTTTCTTTCACAGCACTACCACCAGCCAACAGCAAGTTTCTACCTATTCCATAGACAGGCTTCATTTGTGGTATCCACTCCCATCTCCCCAGTGCCCAGAGCAGTGCCTGGAACAACCTGTGAATTCAATCAAGGTTTGTGAAGGAATAAAATTGAACGTATGTCCCAGTCAACATGAATATATTCCAACCATAAGATACTTATAAGCACTTTATAAGAGATTTGGAAGGCCTCTCTGTGGAAAATATTTCTCACTGGGGAGATGAGGAGCCTGAGAGAGAACAAGAGGGGAGTGGAGCAATCAGAAACTATAAGTGAGAGGGTTTATTCCAGAGATTCTCAGAACGAAGTACCTCTTCCTAAGTCTCCTTGTGCTCTCCCAAGTGTGTCCTACCTCTTTCTAGGATGCTGAGATTTGTTGACAGGGAAAAATATAGTACTTAAAATCTCTGCCTAAATACCTCCAGAGCTCTCTGTGCTTTGATGTTGTGGAACAAACTTTTGATGAGCACAGTGAGTATTTTTATGCTGCCTCCTTTCACTGAAAGCAGCATTTGTGTGAATCAGAGACCTCCTGGTAACCGTCCATAGGCACATTCTACATAATGCTATCTAGCAGGTACCTAGTGGGTACTTCCTTGGGAAAGTCCTCCCTGACTTCACTCCTACTGAACCCAATACCAGTTTGAATCATGCAGTGATGGTCTACATGCCATCATATATGGTAATATGCATATATATGTTATATCTATAATGCTTATTATATCTATACTTATTTGTGGTGCTTGCCACACATGTAGTTAGTCATTTATGTGACTTTTTAATTTAATGTTTTTCTTCCTCACAAAACTATAAACTCCAAAGAAGCAGGGATTATATTTATCTTGTTCACCATTTTATCCCCAGAACCTAGCATGAGACACATAATAAGTGCCTAAAAATATGTGTGGCTTTAATTCTGTAACTATGCACTGGGACTGAAGAACAGTGTACTTTAAAAGAAATAATATATTCCCTTATGATTAGTACATGGCCACTTATTATTGTTTCTTGCTCAGTACCCAGTGCTATGGGCCCTGAGGCTTTGCTTTTGTGGCTAATCTCAACCAGTCATCTGAGCAAGTCTGCTGAAAGTCACAGGGGACCTGCCAAAAAATGATTTAAAAGATCACTTCAAATCTACTCCTCCTACCAAAAATAAAATCAAGTCAGGGGGACTATTGGCTTGATAACATCATACTTGTAAGAAAAAGTTTCATATACTCAGAGTTTTGTTTCATCTCTTGAAGAAAACTGAAAAGTTAGAAAGAGTGATCATTAATGGATTAGCTGTAGTTGTGCCTCTACTTTCCCAACAATAAAGCCAGATTCTGTTAAATGTTATGTTCCCAAATCCCTTTGGCCAGGAGTTTGTACCAATAAACTGTAATTTTTAAGCACTAATAGATTGTTGCCACCATAAGAAGCAAAATATCTATAAAATTCTCAGCATTGCCAAAGGTTGTCATGACTATCTTGGACGTTCACACACATTAACTTGGATTGCAGTATAGGGGAAAAGGTGAGGAAAAAAATAAAAGCTATGGCTGTTCTCATTCATATTCCTGGAAACTGGGAGTTTGTGTTCACTCTAGGAAAAGAGCCAGTTCGCATGTGGGAGATAAAAAGGAAAATAGTCCATTTTTTCACTTTCTCAGAGTTTCTCACTGCCTTTTCACCCACAATTATTGAACATTTAGTTGAAGAAAAGTAAAGCTACCCCTGGTAGTTTCAACATGCAATTACATGTATAGAGGCACCTAGAATAATAGCTAGTACACATAGATGTTCAAAAATTCTTTGTTCAAGAAAAAAGCTCACAGAGCTGTTTCTGTTTTTTGTTATGTTTTGTTTTAAGAAAGCAACTGCAAAAATGCCTCAAAGCAGTTCAAACACAGAGGCCTGAGGAAATGGGTAGCTCTTTCTGACAAGATACTTCCAAAGTACCGCAGGACCCAAGGCTGCACAGAGCTCAGAATTCAAATGTGAGGTCTACTCAAAATGACACGTCCACATGACCAAGACCAGGCATGTTTCTCTGCTATGCCAGGCAGTCTGAGTCCAGAGCCTACAAGTCTTAGCAACAATACGAAGTTTAAACATGTCATTTTACTATAACAAAACCTCTGAAACATAAAATATGAAGCTAAAAACTGACTTGGATATGATCACAAAGATGCTTTAAATAATAACTGTAGTCACTTTTTGCCAATATATTTTTGCATAAGATCCATAAAAGTTAAGAAGGACATATTATCATTTAACTATTATAGACAAAAGACACTAAATTAAAACAACTTATTTCCTTAAGGCCAGGAGTACAACTGATTTCCAAGAACTTAACTTTTCCCAGCCAGGAGCAGCCAAGATGTTAGGTATGGGGGGGACCCTCCAGCTGTGGTTTGTATGTCTGGCCCCAGGCTTCATTACATTGGGTCATGGTGTAATATCAACCAGTGTGTGTCTAGTTGAGTCACAGAGGCAATTTTCTCCACTGTTGGCTATTGCAGCTATCCAAGAATGGGAAAGTTGGCAAACAAGTGAGGAGAATAAGCAGTGATGAACTGACTTTCAGAGCACAATGATAAAAAGTAGTCACAATGAGCACAACAGCTCCAGCAGAGAAAAGGCAGTTGCTAGAGCCTTTCCTAAATGCCCCACCTGCCGGACCAGCATCCCTCTGCCCTTCCCACCTCTTCCCCTCCCACCCATCCCCATGTGCACACTCCCTGTGTGCTGTGCATGTCTCTCTCCCTGTGGTCTGTTTCTCGCTTTCTCTCTCTCTCTCTCTCTCTCTCTCTCTCTCTCTCTCTTTCTCTCTCTCTCTTCTCTCTCTCTCTTTCTCTTTCATTTTGTGCTCCTCCTTTACCTCATTTCTTCCCTCTCCTTTCAACTCAACTGAGAATCACAAAAGCTTAGAATACTAACTCACAGAGGGCTTCAGAGAGCATAGAGACCAACATTCCCACACTGCACATGAGAAAACCACAATCCAAAGGAGTGATCTGCACAAGAACATGCTGTTATTTTGTGGCGAGCACATGGCCTACGTCCAGTGTTCTCTCCGCAATATCACACGTGCAGCTGTGTCATGGAATTCAAGGGCATTCAAGCCCTCTCCATCTCCCATTATAATGTTATATTAGTAACTAACAAAAAATCCATGTAAATGTAAGAAGCGTTTTATTATTTTCATGTAGTCGTTCACTTAAATGAATTATCTTCATTTGAGAATTATCTTTTCAAATCACAGAGCTAGGATTAGAAAACAATTTCAAGGTCACTTCTTACAAACCACATGCATTCACAAAAGTTAAAAATGCTTCAAAGAGCAGTTTTTACGATTTTCTTTCAATCATCGCTTCTATGGATAAGCTGATAAAACGCTATGTCCATTCTCCTCAGAAAAAAATAAAACACTGAACATTTTGCATAACACTTGAGGAGTTTATAAAATCTGCTGGAGCCCATCTGTGGGCCCTTTAAAAGTTAAAAATCACTGTCTTTAAATAGTGTGGTATATTTCCAGATTGGTGGTTTTCAAAATAAGATGTGCAAACACTAGAGTGGTACGTCACGATCCACAGTGTTGAGGAAAAAATAATGAAACTGCTATTACTGCTTTTAAATGTCATTATATAAGACACTAGTACAGTAACATGTGTGGCGTTCATAAATAAGTAAACACATGTATAATGTTGTTGGTTCTACATTGCTTTTGCTTCAAGGAACATGCCGACGGGTGAAGACCACAGCCAGTCTTAGAGAGACCTCCCCTTCCCTAGCTCCCTACCCCCAGTGGAGGCCTTGCCTTACCTGGTCCTTCGTCTTCCCTTCTCGCTCACGAATGTGGTTAGCAACAATCCTCTCTGTTTCCTCACAGAGTCTGGGGAAGTTTGCCAGCTGTCAAGAAAAACAGATCTGAGTGTTAATACTCAAAAGCTACACCACGAAAAAGGAAACAGAGATAAATTATGTTATTTTATAGAAGATACTCATGATTCTGAAAGCAAAAGTGAAATACCATGAACTCCTAAAGAAGAATGTCAGAGAGAAGAGGCTCCACAGACCATCAGCAGCAGTGACCTCATTACCTGAGAAGAAAAACTTCAAGCCAGTAGAGCAGTTCTCTGGAAAGAAAGCAGAACCTTGAATGCCATCTAGCACTCTGCTCTGCAGAGTTAGCACTCAATAAAGTTCAAAGGTGAAGAAGACGGAGAAGATTGCTAACACGTCTAGGATGCCGGCTGTGTGTCAGGCTGTGCACCAAGGACTGCATGACTGTCCTCCCTTAGTGCTCATAGCAAGCGGAGAGCACTAATTATTAACCCCATTGTACGAGGAGGAAAATGAAGCACAGAGAGACTGAGTGACCTGCCCACAATGAAACAGCTTATAAGGAACGGGTTCAGGATTCCTACCCAAGTCTAGGACTCCAGAGTCATGCTCTTGTCCATTGCTCTTTGAAACTGATTCATTCTATGAACTACAGAGAAATTCCTTTAATTTTTAAAAATTTTCCCTTAATAGAGAATAAAATATATGTATATGTACATATTTTTTGCAGAGCCATAGAAATAATGCACATCAATCACTTACTTTATCTAAACAAAGTTTGCATAATTTGGATTAATTACAAGTTGTTCCAATATAAGGAAGAAAAAGAAAGGGTTGCTATGAGGATGTTTAAGAAGCCCTAATCTAGAAGGAGGACTCAGTCAGGCAAAGGTGTGTAGGAATGGCTGTGGGGAGATGAAGCAGGCCAGGAACAGGTATGAAGGTGGGGGTGGGGGACATGGAGGGGAGGGGAGGTGGGGCAAAAGGATAAAAGGGAGTGGGGCAAGTGGTAAAAAAAATAAAGATGAAAGACGTCAGATGCTGAGGATGTGCTTGTGAGTTTGAGGCAAAGCTAGAGAGCTAAGCAAGGGCCTCATCAGATCCCTGCAAGGCTGTTAGGAGTTGTGGCTCCTGAAGCACTTCAGATGGGACACGGTGGTGGCTTTTACTGGGGTGGCAGCAGTGGTGGTAGAGAAGAGTGAACTGTTGAGGATTATGCCAGGCAAATTATTAGCTCCAATTATGATATTTAAAAGCACTTGCAAATTAAATATGTCAATAAAATAGGCAAAGAACATGATTTAATTCATAAAAACTATAATGGTCAGTAAGCAGAAGGAAAACATAAACTGCACAAGTGATCAAAGTAATGCAAAAAAGGCAATAACTGGCATGATAGCAAATTGCTATTGTCATTTGTATGAGACTTATTTCAGTTGAAGATATACTGAAACTAGCACAATTTAAACCTGCTTCTTAGAAGATGTCAACAAAACCAATCTTTCTGGAAAGAAATCTGACAGTATGTACCAAAAATCTTACACACACACGCACACACGCACACACACACCCCAACCTAATTATCTCACAGGATTCTGAGCTAAAATGATAAGGACATCACAGTACTAGCTGGAATAGTAACAATAAGACAAACAAAATTATAAACCTATCTAATGATATGGAAAGTGTTCATAATCTGATGATAAGTGAAGAAAACAGGCTTCTAAATATATGATGTGATACACAAAGCATAATGCTATGGCTTGAATGTTTGTCCCCTCCAAAACTCACGTTGAAATTTAATTTTCAATGTGGCAGTGTTGAGATGGAGCCTTTGAGAGGTTATTGGGCCATGAGGGCTCGGTCTCCATTAATGGATTAACCCATTCACGGATACTAGACTAATGGGTCATCATGGGAGTAGAACCGGGCTTTATAAGAAGAGGATGAGAGACCTGAGCTAGGACATCAGCACACTCAGTCCCATCACCATGTGACCAATACCCTGTACTACCTTAAGATTCTATAAAGAGTCCCCACCAGCAAGAAGGCCCTCACCAGATGCAGACCCTTGACCTTGGACATCTTGGCTTCCATATCTGTAAGAAATAAATTCTTTTTCTTTCTTTTTTTTTGGGGGGGGTTGGAGTCTCACTCTGTTGCCCAGACTGGAGTGCAGTGGCCGCTCCCGGCCACCGCAGCCCCGACCTGCTGGGTCTTTCCGCCTCAGGCTTCTGAGTATCCAGAATTACAGGCGTGCGCTACCACGCCTGGCTAATTTTTTCATTTATTGTAGAGATGAGGTCTCGCCTGCCCAGGTGGGTCTCGAACCCACGGGCTCAGGCAATCCACTCACCTCAGCCTCCCAAAGGCATGGGATTACAGGCTGAGCCACCGAACCCGGCTATGCTTTGTTTTTTTTTGCTGAGGATTGTTCTGGCTATTCTTGGTTGTTTGTGTTTCCATATGAATTCCTGTATTGTTTTTTTCTAGATCTGAGAAGAATGTTGCTGGTAATTTGATGAGTATTGCATTAAATCTGTAGATTGCCTTAGGTAAGATGGACATTTCCACAATGTTGATTCTTCCAATCCATGAGCATGGGATATTTTTCCACTTGTTTTTGTCATCTTTGATTTCTTTGAGCAGTGTTTTGTAGTTTTCATTGTAAAGGTCTTTTGCATCCCTGGTTAGGAAGAAGATGCCAAGGTATTTCATTATTTTTATGGCTATTGTGAACTGGATTGTGCTTTTTATTTGCATTTCTGTTTGTTTATTATTGGTGTAAAGAAATGTGATTGTCTTTTCCTGAGACTTTGCCAAAGTCCTTTATCAGTGTAAGAAGGTTTTTGATCCTCTTGAGTTTTCAAGGTACACGATCATGTCATCTGCAAAGAGAGATAGTTTGACTTCCTCTTTTCCTATTTGGATGCCCCTGATCACCTTCTCTTTTCTGATTGCTCTAGCTAGGACTTCCAATACTATATTGAACAGGAGGGGTGAGAGTGGGCATCTTTGTCTTGTTCCAGTTTTCAAGGGAAATGGTTCCAATTTTTGTCTGTTTAGATGGTTTGTACTATTTTGAGGTATGTTCCACATGTGCCTAGATGTTCGAGGATTTTTATGAAGAAAGGGTGTAGTATTTTATCAAAAGCTTTTTGTGCATCTAATGATATAATCATGTGGTTTTTGTTTTGACATCTGTTGATGTATTTAATTACATTTATGGTTTTGCAAATGTTGAGCCAGCCTTGTGTCACAGGGATGAAGCCTACTTGGTCATGATGGATGATTTTTGCGATGTGTTGCTGAATCCGGTTTGCTAGGATCTTGTTGAGAATTTTAGCATCTATGTTCATCAAAGATATTGACCTGTAGTTCTCTTTCTTTGTTGGGTCTTTACCTGGTTTGGGTATCAATGTGATGTTAGCTTCATAAAATGATTTGGGGAGAGTTCCATCCTCTTATTCACCTGGAATACTTTCAGAAGGATTGGTATCAGCTCCTCCTTAAATGTCTTATAGAATTCTGCTGGAAAGCCATCTGGTCCAGGGCTTTTTTTTGTAGGTAGTTTTCTTATTACATAGCCAATTTCCTTGATTGTTATTGGTATATTTAGGGTCTCAATTTCTTCTTGTTTCAACCTAGGCAGGTTGTGTGATGTCAAAAAGTCCTCCTTTTCCTTAAGGT